TGACTCATCTGTAATTGTCTGAGACCAGTCTGTGGGTGAATAAATGAACAAATCAATGGATGAATTGCATGTGATTAGCTTAGAAATTATTGATCAGCAACGATTCCAGATACCCCCATTCCTGATGTCTGCTCTTGCTGCTCCCAGTCCCCACAGGGGGGGTCATCATCTGCACTTTGCACCAGCAGAGCTTACTACTTAAAATACAGGAAGAAAATAGTGATGACCGTATGCACTTTCAAATACATTATTGTTTCAATGACTTTAACGTAATGTAAATATATGCAAGCGCATATTTTGTACACCAAATGGTAATTCGGAAAAAGTTAAAATACTGAGAATCACATGATTTGCTTTGAGAGCCATCATATCAACTTTCAGATGTGGTCATTTAAAAAGCAACCCACATACTTCAGTTTGTAGGAATGAGATTCACTCTGTCTACCTAGAGAAAGACACAAACATAATGAGCCTCACCTGGAGGTTCCCTCCAATGGACTTAACCATGTGACTACCAGTCATACACAAGTCTTAAAGATCCTGCAGATTTTGTTATTTTACCCATTCTGTTTATAATCAGTTTCAGTTTTTAATTTGATTTTGAAGTTGTAGTTAATCAAAAGATGTTTTACTCTTAGTACTACATTTTCATTTCCTTCCAGCCAACACTGCAATAACTGAAGTTTCAGCAACTTATTCCTCATTAAATGCCCATTAGAAACACCTTCTCCTCTGTGTGTTTTGGATGATCGCTTGTATTTCGGATTGCCTTTTTAGAGTACTTACACTTTTTCGCTGATAATCATACTTTGTTTCCTTTTCATATGAAAGTTGAATTTTTATTTTTCTTATTTTGTTTTCCTTGTCAACATTCCAGATTGGGTTTTATGTAAATGCTTCTTGGAAAATATATAAATATTACATCAATATCCAAAAGAGGGAAAAATTTATTTCAATAAAATAGTACTAATACATATAACATTCCAATTTCCTTTTACTAGGCCTCTAGGTATGCTAGGGGAAAAAAAATCCAGCTACAGAGTTGGCATAATCTCTATTAGCTTAAAATATTAATAACTAATTTAGCCCAAAGGTCAACTTTTTAATAGAAAATACTTGGTCGTGCTTAATAAAATATTTAAAGAGTGAAAAATACCCGAAATAAAAAATTTTTAAAGAATTTGTGATAACTTTAAAGTAATCAGCATGCTCTTCTCCTTGGGGGCCAATATTCAGAAAAAGCAGTTCATTTTATTTTATCGACAATATAGTGATATTTGGCAAGTTGGGTATTTTTCCCCTATTTAAATTTTTTAAAATTTAGTGTTGGACACCTGCCAGACTGGCAGCACTGGAAATCCAAATTACTGCATGGAATTGGCTCTCCATCAAACTGTGTTCCTCAGGTTGGGATATAGGTTTTTGTGCAAGATTATTATTATTTTTTTTTTTGCGCGCCCCCTACCGTAATTACTTTCCTCCTACAGCACAGCCATTAATGAATCAGACACCGCTAGAGAGGAGACCGACCCACTTCATCCCTGGTGAGAAATAACACTGATTTCTTAGTTTGTGGGAGAAGAATTTGAACTGAGAAAGAAAAAAAAGAGTCCTTCTCTCTTTAGGCACGATAATGGATCATGTATTCCTGGTTGTTAATATCATTTAATAGGCTGTCTGCACAGTTTCTAACCCCATTTGAGCAAATCACAGGAAATGCCTGAGCCTCATTGAAGATCCTGCTTATTCCCCTACAGAAAGACTGCAATGGTTTAAAGGGCCCTTGAGCTGCAAATACAACTCGCAGCTACTACGTTTGCATCACTTCTAACACACGCTGCCCAGGTGATCAACGATTCTTCCAGGGACAAGAAACTTTATATCCCCTAAGTGAGCTCACTGGAGAGATAAATATTCTTTTTATTGAGTCGAAATGCCTCTTCTTCCTAACTCAGACCCTAAACGGCGCTGTAGTCACCGGAGCCAGTTTCATCCCTTAGGCCCAGTCCGGTTCCTGGGAAACTCTTATGCTAGATTTTAGACCATCTTCCTCTTTCTAGTCAAATCGAAGTTGATACAAAAATAATCATTCTCATACATTATTGTCACTTCTGTCTCTAGGCCTGTCTCCAAGTGACCCCAGACTAAATGACCGTATTTCGTATTGTGAAAGGGATGATACTGAATGACAAAATCCCGGATTTTGTAAGAAAATTAGAAATTCTCAGTTTACAATTTTAAATATATAAAACGCCCAAAATAACGTTGCTCTAAAAAGTGTTGATCATAACAAAACACAATAAAATTCTCAATCTGAACAGAACAGCCCCTTGTTCTAAGACCCAAATAAGCAATATCACATAGAAACCACCTCACACGATTTTGTTTTTCTTCTAGACATATGGTCAAACCAAAACAAGCATATATATTAGCCAAATAGAAATTAATAGGAACCACTGCAAATGGGCTTCTGTTTTTACTCAGGAGAGTTCACAGAAGGGTGGGGTGAGTAACCAATGAAGGGCTAATTTTCTGATGTCTCAACTGTTAACATTTATACTCTTTATAAAAAGTGTCATAGTCAGTCAACTACTGAAAAACGATATGCATGACAGTTGCACATTTTTGTCCTGTAATACATGTTGTTGGTGATTAAAAAATTTAGAGGAGTGACAAACGTTAATGAATTCTGCATGCCATAAATAGTGAATTACCCTTCCTAGAACAAATGCTGAAGAGAAAAGTGACAGAACATGAGATTAGAATGGCATATTTAGAGATTGTGTATAGTAGTCTATCTCCGTCTACCGATTCAGGCACTAACTTAAATGAGTTGTTTAAATGCAGACATGCCTAGGTGTCTTCCAGCCTCTGAAATTCACATTGCCTGCTACATAGAAACTTATTGCAAATCCCATTTCTCTATGCCAGAGAATAGCTGACACGCTTGGAAAATAAAGCAAAAGTTGGTAGGGAGGTAATCTGAGTGGAAGAAGTAATTTCCACGGCTTTCCCAGGTAAAAGCACTCCGTCTCTATTTTACTCCACCTGAAGGTAGCTGCAAATGTGTATGTGACTTGTTGTCATGGGACAGCAGAACTCCTGTTCCACCAGCCAGTGCTCCAAGGGAGCATTCAGGCTTTCCAACCGTGGTGTCAAGATAAACTTCTGCATTTGAGAGATCACACATTTTTTTTTTTTTCTTTTATTACTATACTTTAAGTTCTGGGATAAATGTGCAGAACATGCAGGTTTGTTACATAAGTATACACATGCCATGGTGGTTTCCTGCACGCGTCAACTAGACATCTACATTAGGTATTTCTCCTAACGTTATCCTTCCCTAGGCCCCCATCCCTGACAGGCCCCAGCGTGTCATGTTCCCCTCCCTGTGTCCATGTGTTCTCATTGTTCGACTCCCACTTATGAGTGAGAACATGCGGCGTTTGGTTTTCTATTCTTGTGTTAGTTTGCTGGGAATGGTTTCCAGCTTCATCCATGTCCCTGCAAAGGACATGAACTCATCCTTTTTTACGGCTGCCTAGTATTCCATGGTGTATATGTGGCACATTTTCTTTATCCAGTCTATCACTGATGGGCATTTGGGTTGGTTCCAAGTCTTTGCCACATGAAAAGTGCCACAATAAACATACGTGTACACGTGTCTTTATAATAGAATGATTTCTAATCCTTTGGATATATACCCAGTAATGGGATTGCTGGGTCAAATGGAAGTTCTATTTCTAGGTCCTTGAGGAATCGCCACAGTGTCTTCCAGAAAGACCGTGTGCTTTCACCGCTGGTCCGCACACTCCTACATTTTACAGTAGCACAGTTCTGTATGAACTGACGTACAGCAGTGCAGCAGCGCTTCTTTTTCTAATAAAGCATGTCAAGTTCGTTTAGCTGAAAATTACATTTGTGGCTAAATGTAACCATTTAATTTTCTTGAGTTTATAAAATCTTTTGATCTGGTTGCTTCAAAAACGCTGAGCAAGACAAATATAAAACATTTTCCTGGATTCAATAGTTCCCCCGTTTCTAACATTATAGGCAGGATAAGTTGATGTCAGGGTAACTATGTTTAATATGTTGTATAAAATGATGTATGTGGGAGATTTTTAAATGGAAATATAATAATTTTTCAGGCAGTTTTTTTTGTGTGTATTTAAAACTTCACTCATTTTAAGGCTGTTTGGTTTAAATGTGGAAAGTCCTCTCTAAAGAGAGACGAAGAGAAATGGTTTTTAAATGCTACATACATTTACTTTAATAACATTTCCTTTTTTCTCAATAATCTAATTCAGACTCGGTGACAAAAATACGTACAAATGAATTCCCATCTACTGAAGACCTCTGTGAGAAAGCCACTTCATTTGCCCTCTCATTTATATGAGCAGTATTTTAACTAAAATAAACAGAACAGTTCTTGTGTCTCTTCCCAATACCCATATATCTTTTATTTCTAACTGGCAAGAAAGAAGTATCATAAATTTAAGTCACAGAGAAAAACAGGTCTGCTGGTGGCTAATGAGAAAGATTTTCATATGACCCTGGTACAGATGACTTCCTATGAGCTGGTCAAAGTCTTGCCTGGAAAAAAGATAATAAAACAAAACAAATGCCTAGAAATAAAATCAAAGCGAACAGGACAAAAGTAGAACACTGAGTTTCCACAAAAGTCCAAGAAACCTCCACATGCATATAAACCACTCCTTTGCTTCATCTGAAGGTTGTCTGCTTGCTCTTAGAAGCGAAGAAGTCAGAGCTATTTACCATTACTCCAATAAGCCAAGCTTTTTTTTCCACCTAAATTGGATCATCTAAGTTTCCATCCAAATGAAACAAGCACACTAAAAGAATTTGCTTCTGAAAGGAAGTTGAGTTTAATATTCCATTTTAGTGACTATGTAAATCATACAGTGTCTTATAAACAAAGCAATTTTATTCCCAAGAAAGAGATTATAAAATATAACACTGTCTTTTGGGAAGCCACTTACCTGATTCAGACAACTTTAGCAGTCTTTACATCACTGAACCTTGTATGTCTTCCTCCAAGTCCCTCAGTTTATGTTTAAACAGCCATCTGTTTTTCCAGTAACCAAGTAAACATAACCTGTTCATATGGAAGCTATTGACTTATGTAGCTAATAAATATTACACGAATGAAGGAACAGTGGTAAGGTTATGACAAACAGCTTTCTGTTCTCTTTAAGATGTGTATGATATAACAAAATGATTGCTCATACCATAATTTATGCACACAATTGAGGATTTTCCAAACATTTTTACTATATTTATACCAAATGCATCATGTGGCATATAGATTTGACTATATAGGCAACTTCCCCTATAAAAAGTGGAATAAGGGAAAAAACACTCCAACAAAATTATGAACTTACAAAAGAGAAAACAAACACAGAAATGCATTTGAAGTGGTAGTCTTCAAGAAATAAAGTGTCCTGTATGAAAGTCCAGGTTGGATTTAGAAATTTGTTCTGGAAGAACTATATAATGATGTCAGATTGCCTGAACCATAACCAAAAGTTCACAGCTAGGATCAGTTATGAGAAATTGATTCTCTCACTTGCATTGGACAACGTGTGTCTGTGAGCTCATTATCAATGACATAAGTAGCATGGTATACATCTCTAACACAGACTAAAAGCAGCTCCTTAGGGCCTCTTGAACGACTGTGTGTGTATGTGAACAAGCAAAGTAAAGTGTCTTACAAGATACCAAGCATTAACAGGCGATGGTTTTGAGGGGGAGTTGTTTTGGAGGGTCATAAGTAGGGGTTAGGCATCACAACTGAGTTCTAGTCATGTTTATTGAAGTGCCGACAAGATACTTCTGCCAAAGTGTCACATCCCATTCTCTTGGCCTTTCCCAAATTCATTTCTCTCTCTCCCAGAGAGATTCACTGAGCAGTTAAATATCATGCGTAATAGCCCTCTGACATAAGAAAGATTATATTTAATAGATTTGAATATCCTTTTTTCCTATCACGCTTAGCATTTCACAATTCAGGAACTTAATTGGTTTGCAAAGGTACAGAAAAAGAAAATGATTTCTGGATTTCATCTGTAGTACTTTCTTGCCCCCTACTGGCAAATGTGAACCTGGCATACTAAGAATTCTAATGTTAAAGTGTTTTCCAATTGATCTTTCCTATAAGCCAGTTCACAAACCCATACATACTTCAAACAAAAATAAAATGTAGTAGGCGTAGAAGTTTAATACCATCAACTACGCATTTTATTAAAAAGTAATGAACTTAAGAAATCCAATTTATTTTTAAAAAGTACCCTCAGGAGTACAAAAGTCAATTTTCCAATTGCATAGTAAAAGTAAATCTACCATATGATGGTGAAAACTGGTACAACTCTTTGTAAATAGAGCTTAAGGGGAGCTTACCATTCAACTGGATTTGCAAAGATTATAAAGCAACTATGTTTTCTGCTTTTTAAATACTATTCATGACTTCATGGGCACCAAAAAACTCCATTAGAAAGGGTATTTCAATATTATTTTTGAAGGCACACATGCAGTTTTTCTTGAGAAATATTTTTAACACAGAGAACCTGGGGTCCCTGGGTCACTTTCTGATCATTTCTTCTGCAGCAGTGAGTTATGAACGTTCTCTCTCACTGAGATAACCATCACTATTTCTTGGATATTTTAGCTTTTGTGGTTCAAGACCTCTAAATTCTTTTATGCAAATACAGCTAATCATGAATTGCAACCCATGGAATGATTAATGTTCTTTGACAACATTCTTTTGTCATCCAGTTCCAGTGACTGTGAGGTCGACAGCCAGAATGACCAGCCCTCGAACAGATAAGAGGCCACTCTTTGCGGGGCACACTGCTGGGATGCGCCTCTGGCCTCTTTCAGCCTCTGACACCCAGGAGGTAACTCCTGCTGGACTGAGAGAGCCTCTGAAAGAAGCTCTGTGGGGAACTTCTCCATCATAAGCCACATGGAACTTTTTACTTAGTGACCCGAATCTCTCAAAGGACAGGTCACTACCACGGTAAGGCAGGAGCGCCTCACAAAGGCAGGCAGGCACACCCAATGAAGGAAAAAAGCCTCCTCTTTCTGGAGGAAAATCTCTCCTCCAACACTGAATGTCTTCAAAGGCCAGTTCTTGGACAAGAGCCAGATACCAAGACAAACGCTGCTCACGAAAGGCACTGAGAGGATGTGACTATCAGCAGACCTTTTCTGTTCTTCCTAGTCCTTGACTTCAGTCTATGGAGGGTTCTGTGTCTCCTCGGGGTGAAAATTACCTGGATTCCTTTCATGCTAAGTGCTACTCCTCAGTTCCAATTCTTTTCATGCAAAGAGAGCTAGCCAGGTGAAACAGAGGGGCATTATTATCTTTGATGATGGTCTTTGAAACCCATATTACAAACATCTCTACTCTAGTGTGTTAGGCCATTCTCAAGTAGCTATAAAATACCTGGGACTCAGTAATTTATAAAGAAAAGAGGCTTAATGGGTTCATGCATGGTGCTGACATCTGCTCAGCTCCTGGGGAGGCCTCAGGAAACTTTCAACCAAAGTGGAAGGTGAAGGGGAAGCAGACATCACACACGGCTGGGACAGGAGCAGGAGAGGGCAGGGACATGCTGCACACTTTTAAGCAACCAGATCTCATAAGGACTCACTATCAGGAGAAGAGCACCAAGTGGATGGCAGTATTATGAGAAATCCACCCCATGATCCAATCACCTCCCACCAGGCCCCACTTCTAACAATCGGGATTAGAATACGATTCAACATGAGATTTGATGGGGACACAGATCCAGACCATATCATGACAAATATCCTTTCCGGTGGGTATACTTTAAAATGGCAGCTTTCTGGGGGTCAGGGAGAGGTTAGAAACCCAGAGTGTTAGCATCTTAGAATGCTTAAGGGTTTTGAACCTTTTAGGATGAAGACATTCACTTCAGTATAGGTACCAAAAATGCTTCCACAGAAAAAATTAACTGCTGTATAAACAGCAGATGCCAAATCTCCTCTTTATGTAATCAGTCTAGAATGAGCATCTTCCAATGTTTAGCAAACAAAAATGTATTACCAAGCTCTGGTGAATAATTCTACCCCTTCCTTTATAGTAGTAAGGGTTAGAAACTGGGGACACTAAGAAGGGAATGACTGAAGTTGAACTGAAACATGAAAACACTTAGTTCAGGGATGATCCTGCCCTATGACCTGCTCAGAGAAGTACTGTTCAGTGGTACACCAATTTTGAAAGCATCGGGAGATGACCATTCGTCTCACAAATGTATCCCCCAGCCTCACTCCACCCCACTGGGAGTTAACTGCCAGGCAACTTTTGAAGATAAAAGTCAGTAATGCAAGGTCATTGGAGTGTCCCCAATCTTTTTCCTCCTGATTTGTCTGCCTGAATATTGAGTGTCTCCTCAAAATTCACTGGTTCTATCGTAAGGAAAAGAAAACTAGCATGTTATGATGGTCATGAAATCAAGTCATGTACATACCCATGACTCTGGTTGAAATATATTAATAGATTTGGAATTAGTTTTACAATGTCTCTATGTAGGTAAAGTGATTTCATTATCTGAAATTAGAGGGAAAGTATAATTCACTCTATCCTAGGCCTATTTTCTAAAATTTAAGATACAGAACTATTAAGTATTCAAACAAGAATTTTCTTAGATCTGAATCTGTTTCCTGAGAAAAAAAATTTATCCTACTTTCAAATATAGGGAGGTAGAATCTACATGTTAAAAAAAAAAGCCTTTGCTAATCTTTGTAAGTACCTATCTAGAGAGCTATCCACATCCCCACTGTCTAAATACATAGGACAGTGAGATTGCCTGAAACAGAGCCACGGCCATTCACAGCCAGGCGTCAGTGGACAGGGGGCATTCCTGGGCAACACCTCTTCATTGCTTTGGGATTCCTGATTCAGAACACACAGAGGCTGCAAGAAACCTTTGAGGAGAGGGGCCTCAGTGTCATCGCCTCGACTGTATGCATTGTCTTTGCAATGAGCAACACAGAAACCTTCTCATTACCTCCAAAGATTTTAATCTCAAATCTTCTGCTCTTTGACTCCTGTGGAAGCTCGACTGAAGTGGCTGCTTTTTCAAGAGCATGTGGTCTTTAGCCCTACAGTAGTCCACCTTACAAGCCAAGTTCTGATTCTCAAAAAAAGTCACAATCGGAAATTAAATAATCAAACTTCATCGAACTCTCCCTTTGTGGTTTTACAGATAAGCCCCTCACAGTTGCTCCATACAACAGTTAGGCGAGAGCACACAAGTAGGTAGAAAAGGAACAAATTTAGATGACCTCAAACTTTTATGTTGTAGCTGATATGTGAGGCCTTTTCCACAATCCCTGGACCTCTGCCCTCTGTCCATTCTGTACTGTCTCAGTGTACCCTCTAGTACATAAAATTAGAAGAAACAGGTAATTAGAACAAAAACCTGTTTATTCACTTACTAACTTTTGATTTCATCTTAAAGAAAAGTACTCTCTCATGTTTTTTTGATGATTCCGTCCTCTTTGGGAGAAACAGTGTTGTAGTTAGGCCATTACTTTAAAAAAAAAGTCTCTGTGGCTTACTTCAAAAATAAAATATGAATAACTAAAATGAATTTTGATTTCTTTTGACTGCACAAATTATTCTGAAAGCTAACAGCTCTGCACATTTTTAAAATAGATTCAATCATTTAAGCTCAATCACAAATTTTCTACCCCATAATAATTTCTAATCATTTCACAGTGCACACACACCGCATCTAAATGCCTTCTTCGACATGTCAAAATAAAATTCATATCTATTACCACACCTCTGAACCATCAAATCGTTCAAAATGAAGATCATAAAATGAAGATACATGGAAATGATATGTAATGCCACAATAGAATGTATTCTGCAGGGCTGAGCTTGCCAAACTCCAACATCACACTTTTAACTCAACAGTATTTTGCCTTTGAAATAATTTTTCACTTTCTAAATACATTGTAATATTTACAACTTAAACCAAACTGTGCTTGAAAGACAACAGCCATACTAGTACCGAAGATATCACTTTTGGGGATT